GCAGGAAAAGTTTTTTTCCTCTGGAGACTCATGAAGACCACTAGGTCCCATTTTCCATACCTCAGCTTCAGGAATCTTTCAGCTTCTCTCTCAGCTTTTTTTTCTCCATTTAGACTTAATATTATCCTCCTGGTCCCTGTTCCCCTCTCATTGCACAAAGGGGCTGTTAAATTTGTGCGAGGTGGCTGAATTGTTTAATGTTAATGTCGTGTGATGATTTCCCAGGGTGGGTGCTGCTAAGCTGAGAGTGAATGAATTATTTAAATATCAGACTAGATAGAGTCAGAGATGAGAGAGAGAGACAGTGAGTTCTTTTCTTCCTGCCTATTGGAGCTATCTATGGTCCACATTTTGTGAACCCACAATGCATCCATCCATAAACCTAAATCCAGTCACTTATATTCTCTTTCTAATTTGGGTTTCCTCTAGGGCAAAAAATATACTCTGCTCGTTCAGGCTTCAAGATAATGTAAATCAGGATGCTGAGCAACTTTGACACCACCTATTTTTCATCTAGTTTTGGAATGAGGACTTTCATAAAGCCCTGTGCTACTGCATCTGTTTCTCTGCTGCTCACCTGAGGTAGACTGGCTTTCATACACTGCTCTCCTTTGAGCAGGCGGTTGAACTAAATAACCTTCTGAGGTCCCTTCCAACCCTAACTTTCTATGATTGTGTTACTGGGCCCCATGATTACTGTCCCTCAAGTATCTGATCAGTCATCATAAATCTCCACTGGTAACTACTCCATTTCTTGGAACTGATTCTTCCCTGAAGGATCCCTGCTTTAGGCAGCTCTCCAGCCTGCAGTAGATGATCTCTCAAACTAAGAACCCATTCTATCCCTTATCGAAGGTGTCATGGGTAAATCTTTATTTCCAGTACAGAATTTCTTGCTCTTTCTCACTTTCAGGAAGCTGGCAAGATCAAGCCCCACAGCTGTGGTGGTGCTGAGTGATATTAAACTTGATGACCATTGAGGCTGAAGTCCTCCAGCCACAGAGCACATACAGTCCAGTTGGTGGTAATACAGGCTTCTCTCACCCACTGCCTACCACTGTGACTGATCCTGAGGCTGGTAGACAGAAGAGAGGTCCATTCAGTCGTTGGTCTCCTTGCTCTGACAATCTGACTGAGCATGGCTTAATCACCACAAACCTGATCCATTTGCATATCTGTCCTCCCTAGACATCTATTCCTCACCTACTCTAATGAGTGCACACAAACCAATGTCAATATAATTTGGCCTAATCAGGTTCCAGCATAGCTGGAACCAGATGCAGCACAAGCAGAATCATAGCAGGCGTTGTGCCAGTATATGCCCTATTCCCAATATCAGCAGAGTGTAAGCAATAAGCATACCAGAGCCAGTACGTGTCTAGGCCCCAGACACTTACGGCAGCTCCACCTCCAAAGCCAAGCTATTCAGCTCCCTGTCACTATGAGAAGAAGCTGTGTAAAATCTGACATTTGTTTATTTTTTTAATAACCCTTTTATTACCTATTTTCCCCCTCTCCACATCTTGAAAGCTGGTTTACTCTCACAATTTGACTATAAAATATCCATAGCCATCCAGGCAAATCTTCCCTGGGAGAGTTCCCAGACACTGCTCGTTTATAATAGATATGACGAAAGAGAGAAACAGAATACAAATGGAGCATTTGTAGTCAGGGTATAAAATATTCAGTGACTAACAGAGCGGGGTGATGTTGAATATCTCTCAGCTGAGCAGAGAGCAGGGTGGAGGGGAGCTCCCCCGAGATTCTTCCCATTCCTCTTGATTTATTTGGCTATTGCTTTCTTCATCACCATCTCAGAATTGGCATCCCCCTGGTCTTCTGGTCCCAAGAGGTGTTGAGAAGCCAAGAGACAACAATTATATTTGGGGATCAGCTTTTTACAGTGCAAAATGGCCATCCTTAGAGGCCATCAATGTCCTGTTTTAGATGGTTCCTTTTACTGGAAAAAAAAGTGATCATC